TAAGTAACTGGCAGGTAGGAATGTGAGAGGGAAATTGGAGAAATCCCCCCCCCCCTCCCTTTAAACTGTTTTTCAATCACATTTGCAGTCGGTTTGAGCGGTGCAGTTTCGTGTTTTTGCCTTTAGTGTCAGTTGTTTCTATTGTCTTTCTTACTAGATTGTAGTCCAGCTCTGAGCTCTTATCACTCACTTGGGGAGTCTGAATGGGTCTTGTAGAGGTACAGACTGCTGTTGTACAAAGGACTTTTTTCCTGGCTGGTGGTTTTCTGAAGAAAGGAATATCACTTCCCCCACCCCGCCACCAGCATTTATAATATAGGAAGAAGGCAGAGGGAAATGCTATATGTCATTTTTTAGAGTGACCATGTGTTTATTCAGGTGGGTTCAACAGTGAAATTTTGCCACGTCTTTGATCCTGGGAGATGTTTCTGCGCTGCTGCTTGCTCCTCTGGAGGGAGCTTTCTCATAGCCACTGAGTCCAAATAGAAATGTGTTTCTACAAAACTTTTTTTTTTTTTTCTTTTTTCTTTTTTTTTTTAAAGTGGTGAAAATTGAAACCAAGAGTGAATTATGGACTAAGCAAAAATGAGAGACCTGTCAGCCTACCAAGAAACAAGGTCAAAGCATAAAGCACAAAAGAAACCAGGCATTTGACGAAAGTGCAGCTGAGATTTCCCTTTGCGTTTAGCACTGTCTGGGCTGACTGGAAGCGCATAGTTTTGGGACAGCCAGGAAAGGCAGCTGGCAGAGTTCCAGTGCCGGGCCACTTACAGCGGTACAGCAGCAAGAGCTCATGTTAGGGCTGAAGTCTTTCTTTGATGTGGTCATCTCTCAAGTTTCTTTCTGAAATGAAAGGGTACGGTTTTGTAGATGCAAACAGAAGAGTGCATGTGCATATGTGCTTGTGATTCTTGCTCATAATTTTATACGTACACATCCATAAGCTATTTCAGATGGGAGGCGGGACTGTATCACCTACACATCAGTATGCTGAATGGGTTGATATGGCTCTTGGCTTACAAGGGAAAAGTCTTTAACACTTCACAAATGCTTAAGACTTACTTTCTCTCTCACTCTTCCTAAATATGTGTACATATACTATATAGTTTATAAAAATACAGGTATATCTATAAAATAAAAACTGTAAATGCATGCACACAGAAGTACATGCCTATTTGGCACATGCAGTTGTACATGAGGAATACACGTTTCACAAAGTATCTCCAACGGGGTTTAAAGTTAGGTTTAAAATGGGTACAGAAAATTACCTAGTACCTTAGGACACAGTTACTGAGTAAGTCCCCTCTGTTTGCTGTAACTTCGTAATGCCATCAGGAAGATACATTATTGTAATATTGAATTCTGTGCTGCTAGGCAAATAAGCGACATAAACACCATGTAAACATGGTCAGTGATGACTTCTGCCCAGTATCCATAGGTTAGCATCAGTAATTGCTGGGACATTAATCCCACACAGCAGCAAGAGAATACTCTTGTGCCTTGTCAGCTTTATGAACAGGGGAGGGGGAAGGGAAAAAAACTATGCTATTTGCACCAATAATTGATTTTTAAAATATAATTAAAAAAACAATGAAATGTTCCTAGTGATGCAACTAGTGATAAAACTGGGAAGAATTCTATCAGTTTTACTGTACTGTTGTGTCTGCTGAGACTGTGGTTTCAGCAGAAGTAAGTTTTTAGGAATATAGAGGCTGCAGGAAAGTTCATTGACAAAAACTGAAAAACTTTGCAGGTTTTTTTCCAATTAACCTTTTTTCCCTGCTTCCTCTTTTCCCTATCCCTGTTTAGGCTAATAACCTTCCAAAAGCTATTGCAGCAGCTCACACGTTTCTTCTGAAGCATCCAGATGATGAAATGATGCAAAGAAATATGGCCTACTATAAGACCATACCTGATGCTGAGGAGCATATTAAAGACTTGGAGACAAAACCTTATGAGGTATGCTTTTTACTCAGTCTGGTCTTTTGGAACTGTTCTGTTACTCCTCTTGCTGGGTGAGATTCAAGGATCTCATTTGCTTATGTGTTCTCAGTTCTTACTCTTCTGTCCCTCTTGCTGTCTTCCTCCATCATCTCTGTTTTGCCTTCTTGACGCTTTCAGTAGTTCTCACCTCTTGTGCTTTTCACTGTTCCATAAGTCACAGTAGCGCATAGACAGTGCCACACCTGAAAGCTACTACACGCAGATCACTACTGCAGCTAAGCAGGTGCATAGAGTTATTCAAATGCACAAGTGCTGTAGCAGCACAGCTTAAAATAACTCTGACGTTTGGGGTTAAACATTCCATTGAAAATCTTTATCAAAACCTGTGCTTTAGACTCACACCGTTCCCTCTGTCCAGCAAGTTTTTCTGTTGATCTGAAATGGAATTACGTGCTCTGCTCTCTAGGAAATCCATTAGTCATCTGTATTTGTTGTCCTCATCTTCATTGCATAACAGTTTACGTAGTAATCCAGATATACATCACTTACTGGTTTTGAGTTTACACGCAGCTTTCCACAGATCAGTTACTGCTGCTTTTCAGTCCTGCCAATTTTTCAGAATCTCTTTGTCAGGGCTGTGAGAGCATACAACGGTGACAACTGGAGAACATCCATCTCGGACATGGAACTGGCCCTTCCTGACTTCTTCAAAGCCTATGATGACTGTACAGCAGCCTGTGAAGGCTCCCGAGAGATCAAAGATTTTAAAGACTTCTATCTCTCCATTGCAGGTGAGTGGTTAGGAAACAGTAAGCAAAAATGTCTCCAAAGCGCCATTTCAGTTGATCTTTAGGACTGGCTACCAAAGTCCTGTTCCTCAGTTTGCAGTGTGAAATGTGAAATGCACATGGTGCCCCCTGCACAGTTTGGGCCAGTCTGAGTTTATTCACGGAAAACTGCTTGAAATCTGGTTTACTTTTTTCTTCTTTTCAGTAACATGAATGAGGCCTGTCAGCAAATCAGAACAGAGTTCTTACATTAATGTGGAAGTTGTGTGTCAGAATAAAATGGATGTGTAAGTAATAACAACTACTCCATCCATCTGGCTAGCAATAGTTATCCAGGCAGGTCTCTTGACCATAATTTCAGTATCAGTTTGGCTGACTTTGAAGCTCAGTGGTTAGCCTGCCTTCAAAATCTGCTTTGTGGGTTGTATATGCCTGGTGATATGTATCTCCTTTCTCATAAACATGACAAGTTTCTGTTGCCTTTTTTCATCTTTCCTACAGCAGAGTTTTGCTAGCAGATAAGATTTCTTTCTCTTTGGTGCGTAGCTTAAAAAAAATAATCCATTGCTTTGCAAAGAAAAAGAGATACCACCTCTTTGAGTGCTGTCAAAATGACACATCCACATTTCATCTATGCTCTTTGGAAGCAAAAGAAACAAGTCATTTCTCCAGTGCTTTGGACTCAGTGTTGTTGACAATAGTTGCGTGGGGAACGCTTGCATGTTTTCTCAACAAACTTAAAAACATGAAAAATGCAATGGAATTTCTAAGTTGCCAGAAGGAAAACCAGCCCAACTTTTTGTCCTGAAGCCATCAGATGTGCTGGTGGAGGGAAACTTCTGTGAAATACATTGATACATAAATGTAAAGTATAAGAGCAGCTCCACACTGTCGCACAGTGAGGAACTGGTATCCACCAGTACAGCTGACGTGGAATAGCTATTGCAGGCTATTGTTAGGAGTTGTCAGAGATGAAAACAACAGAAGAGGCCTTTCCGTTCTTTTGCCTTGGTCAGAGACTTGCTACACAAGCTTAGATAACTTGCTTTCACCTGCCAAATGTGGCTAACAGGGAAACTAAGGCTTTACAATATTTCTGTTTGGTGGTGGTGTCTGTGATACAGCCTGAAAACCCTTGTAATTCTTTGATGGAAGGCCTTCTCAGAATGTATTTTCTTGAAGATAAGATAACCTCTAGTCCTATCTCATTGTACCAACCTTTTGTAGACCACGTAAGCTTGTGAACTTAAACTTTTCTAGCTGAAAGTTGTTCTGTAGTGAGCAGCATCTTCGTGTCTGTCTTCTCTTTTAGAACATCCAAACTGCAGGCATAAAATGCAGCCCTCTCTGGAGGTTTATTTTCCAATCACCTGCTGTATTTCTCTGTGACGCAGTTGTACTTAGCAGCATGCAGACCTTATTCATGCAATAATTTAATGGAATTGCAAAGGCTCTCAAAATTTTTTAAAAAATAGTACTGTTAAGTTCACAGTTATGAAATAATGCGATACTCCGTTAACACTCTATATAAAACCTACCACCACAGACTGCCTGTAGGGGTCAGTGAAACATAACTGCTTAGTTTTCTGGAATTGCAGCTTTGTCCAGACCACACTGATTTTCTCAGAAGGGCTGAGTACCAGTACTTCATATGTATTTCAGATGGAGTTGTACATGCTCAGTACTTCCAAGCAGCAAGATCCAGATGCACAGGACCCAGGAGAGCATTATAAGACCAAATTTTAATGGGTAGCTAATGGGAGGGATTATAACAATTCACTGTGCGCTATCCATATCTTGTGTTGTTGCTTTCTTCCTTCTAGATCATTATATTGAAGTCCTTGCATGCAAAGTGCAGTGCGAGAGTAATCTGACACCCATTATAGGAGGCTTTGTTGTTGAGAAATTTGTGGCCACCATGTACCATTACTTGCAGTTTGCTTATTATAAATGTAAGTAGTGATTTAATGTGCTTAAATAACATTGGGATTATGTGGGACAGTTTCCATTCATAATCTTTGCCCTCTGGTTATAATGCTTTAGAGCGTAAATAGTGGCCTCCAGAATCTGCATTTTAACCTGTTCTGGGACAGAAAGTCTGAGCTGCCTGGCGTCTTTTTCTCCCAGTATAACTGTAGGGTAACAGACATGGAAGATAAATGTTATGTATAGAGCCCGTGCTCATAAAATTGTCCATGACAAGATAAATTGCTGAACGTTAAGTCCCACATGGTCTGGATTTTGCCCAGGGCAGGCCCCTGTTTTAAGTTATGCACGGTTGTAACTGGTCTCCACTTGGGTGTTGGAAAAATGACGCAGTTACAGAGTTAAGTGTGATCTGATCCATCACTGCCCTTCATTCTTTATACGATACCTACTGCCAGCACAAGTTGCTTACACTTTTCAGAGTTTCATATAAATGATAAATGTTAATCAAATGTATTTTAGCTGTTTAAATGATACACCAACTCTTCTGCCTTTCTGAAGTCACTCATAATATAACATATTAAGGTAAACAGTGTCAGCCATTTCCTATTGTCGTGGTTTAACCCCAGTCGGCAACTAAGCACCACGCGGCTGCTCACTCACCCAATCCCCCCAGTGGGATGGGGGAGACAATCGGGGAAAAAAAAAAGGTAAAACCTATGGGTTGAGATAAAGGCAGTTTAATAGGACAGCAGAGGAAGAGAAAGTAATAATAATAATAATGATAAAAGAATATACAAAACAAGTGATGCACAATGCAATTGCTCACTAACCTGCTGACTGATGCTCAGCCAGTCCCCAAGCAGTGATTGCTGCTCCCTGGCCAACTCCCTCCAGTTTATATACTGAGCATGATGTTATATGGTATGTATGGAATATCCCTTTGGTCAGTTTGGGTCAGCTGTCCTTGCTATGATCCCTCCCAGCTTCTTGTGCACCTGGCAGAGCATGGGAACCTAAAAAGTCCCTGACTAGTGTAAGCAGTACTTAGCAACAACTAAAACATCAGTGTGTTATTAACTTCTTTCTCAAACTAAATTGAAAACACAGCACTGTACCAGCTACTAGGAAGAAAATTAATTCTATCCCAGCTGAAACCAGGACACCTATATATTGGAACACATGCAATGACACAGACCTATTTTGTACACCTGTGTACAAAAAAACATGATTTGTGCCAAAAAGCCATGGTGGTCAAGTTGTCAGACCCACATGGTTGTTAAGCAGCTGAATGTATAGCTCTAACAAGAATTTTCTTCCTAACATTCTTAACTCATTCAGTTAAGAGAGAAGAAAGATTGTGACTTCAAGGCAACACATTTAACATAACACCACTTATTCTATTGAATAAATACTCATTTTTCAATTTACTATTCAGAATTTCTTCCACAGACAAACTCAGAGTATTTCTTACCATTCGCTTTTTCCTAGTAGATTCTTATAATCTTGTTAGAATGGGGCACATGGGACTAAATGGGTTTTGAAGAAAAAGGGGACCACTTAACAGAAATTGTAGTGTTCTGGTGCTCAGTGATTACACATTTGATAGGTAAATCATTCAGTGAATTTTGTGGTTTCTTGAGGAACTACCTGCACTATAAAGAACACAGATAGCCCTTACAGCTATTCCTGCAGGCTCCAGCCCCAAAGGGGAGACACATCCAGCCATGTAGAATCAAGCTATTAATGACTTTTGCTTATGTTGTTTGACTACACATTTTACACATTGACTCTTCCCTCTTTGTCAATTCTAGTACAAAGAAGTGTATGTGGGGGGTAGTTTGTTGTTGTTGTTGTTGTTGTTTTAATAAATGCCCCAGTGGAGATCACCAAGCTGTGGGCTGATACCTCACTGATACTGGGATACCTGGGAGGGACATTTGGTTAGGATTTCCATGGAAAACTATCAGAGGTAAGTCCCCATTTCTGAATCATGGCCTTACCTGTTTCAGAACACAAAAATAGCATATCCTTTCTGGGAAGCATTTTTTTTTTTCTGTGTAGCTCGTGGAGAGGTAGAAAATGGGTCCTGTTTCTATCTGAGTTTTTCAGAGCTTAGATAATAGCAGGAATTTGTTAATTTACCTTATCTCGATTTTTTTTGTGTGTGTGTGTGTGTGTTTATTAATTAGTGAATGACATGAAGAATGCAGCTTCTTGTGCTGCTAGTTACCTTCTGTTTGACCAGAAAGATGAAGTAATGAAACAGAACATGGTCTATTATCAGTACCACAAAGACAAATGGGGACTTAAAGAAGAGGATTTTCAGCCCAGATCGGTAGGTGAATTACTTAAAATGCATTCTAGACAAATTCAGGTATTTCCCTGAATCTCTCTGGGTTAGAGTTTGTGAAAATGGAGGTTATCTATTGGTTCTGGAGTTAAAACACATACTGTTTTATTAACACCATACAGAAAGTTGTACACAGAGATGTACTGTGAAATGTAGACAGTGAATCTCATTATAGTTCCTCCCTTTGTGTTGACATATACTACAATAAGATATAACATGATATGATATGATGATGAGTAAATTCATGCTGATACTTGTCGGCCACTTATGTATATTTGTATCTTTATCTACCTTGATAAATAAAGCAGCTGGCCCCTGAAATCTCCTGATGAAAAGATCACTCCAGGGACATTAGGGCTTTTGTCAATGACTTATTATTTGCCAACATGTAGTTGCCCACCTGCTCGTTATTTCAGGTTCTGTGTACATTGGAATGTGTCCAGATATGATAACCCCAGCTAAACTCACTTTCCACTTACTCAATTTAGAACATAGTTGGGTGGATGATGATGGGAAAAGGCTTACAGCCATTATGCACCTAATTAGCTCAGTTAGAATGCTTGCTGCAAAGAACCCACAGTAAACATCAGTCCATCCAGCAATAATTGTGATCTGGCTTTGACAAATGACTCTAAAAATGGGTTTCTTTGCTGTTCTTAAATTTCCATGTCCAAGGAAATTTTACATGTAATAATATCTTTGCTGTGTTTCTGGAGTCCTGCAGCCTGGACTATGATAATCAAGTTGGATTTTCTGTCATTTCTTGTTACCAGGATTTATGTCATGCAACTGAATTAACTGCTTTGTGACACCTGACTCCTTAGGCATCAGTGGTATGTGTTGTACAAGTAGTTAGTCATTAGCAATACATGTTCCATAAATTAAATCTAGTGCCTCCTCTATCTCTTATGGCACAACTTCCCTGTGGAAGAGTCATTTAAGTTAACCTAGCTGAAGCAACAGCAGGCATCCCACAGGGTAGTGTTCCAGTTGCCTTTCCCACGTTGCTTCTTCAGACATCTCAGTCACCGAGACCTGTACTGGCCCAAAGGCATATCCCCTGATTCTTAATGCTGCATTAAGCTCAGTACATATATATAGTGCTTACGTGACTGGCTTTACGTGTAGCAATACTGCAGAGCAGTTCACATACGCACCTTGTAGGTTGCACTGATTTGGTAATTACGTTTTCCATCCTCTCAGGCCAGCCAGCTCAAGTCAAAAATACCACTCCATTTGAGTTAAGTGTTTTTTGGTTGTGGACAGCTCTTGAGTTATGTGCAACACACCTTACCTGCACACTGGAAATCCACATCTGCCCTGCAGGGCCCACTGAGACAGAAGACAGCAAAAATGCATTTGGTTCTTTCAGTCAGCAGGAGTGAGTCTGAGCTCACAGGGGAAAGGGACCACTCCTTTGTCACTGCTTTGGGGAACAAAACTGTGCTTTATAGCCATATTGGGAGACAATGTTTGACGGTGGTGGGAGTGAGGGGTAGCAAAAGTATAAAACTGCAAACCACAGACAGATTTGGCATACACGTGCAGAAAAGACGGAACAAGGCCCTACACATTAACTCTGAATGTTTCATTGATAACTTCTCAGGAGCTGGGGACTACAGATAATTTAATTTTTAAATATAAAATATTAAATGCATACAGCTGTATTTTCTTGTACTTTGATCCGTGTAACTATGAACAGAAGTTGCTTGCTGTCCTAATCACTTGCCATGAAAACCATAATGCCTCTGGTTTATTTTCACAAAGTGGTAGTGGGGTGACAGCAGCATTTGGCTCTGGCATTAAGCTTTAGATGTTCTTGTGAAGGAGGAAGTCTCCTGTTTTCCTCCCCAAAAAGAGTTAAACGGGATGATCAAAGTAGATTATTGATGGTATTCACAAATACGAGAGTAGGTGACTGAGCTAACCTGTGCTGTCCAGGCAAACAGCCGGGGAAGTGAGGAGGGACAGGTGGGTGACCATGCAGAATTTCCCTAGCCCAGTCTCGGGCTGGGGTGGTGAGTCATTATCACGCAAAATAGCTTAGCGTCTCTTTTTCCCAGAACTGCCTGCCGCCATACGCCAGCGCACAGGGAGACAGAGGCTTTCTCACTCCAAAGCCCGCTGGAATGCAGGCACAGGCTGCTGCTCAGCTCTGGCAGTCTCATTCCTTATTCTCATACTCGCCAATGCTTTGAAACATGAGAGAGGAGAGTGCTTTGTTCTTCTCACACCGATGGAGCCAGTGCTTAGAAAGAGCCACAGAAGACATTGGATATGCTGCTTGCTGTTCTGCTGTTTCCTTTCTTAAACATTTTAAAAACCGCCCCCCTGGGATCTCCTTTCTCCTAAGTATGGGTCTGACCTCACTGGAATAGTTTCAGGTGACATGTGATGACACTCCCCTGTCTTGCTACCCTAAAGAAACTCTGGGTTTTTTTATAGGAGGCAGTTCGATACCACAACATAACCACACTCCAGTTGGAAATGTATGAATTCGCAAAGGAACATCTGATGGATGATGATGAGGTGAGTTTTCTATAAAGGAAATCGTGGTCAAAAAACCCAGCAATTGCATTAAAGTGAAGATGATACATAGATGGAATTCCAGGATTTAGCTAATATGCAAAAATTTTCTTGTAACCATGACCAATTTATCATACATTTTTCTTTTGTAAATGGAATATAAGAAACAAACCCAAAGAACATCACATACCATTTAAAAAAATACAGGCAGTAGTAACACAAAGGTAAATATAATGTGCTCAGCCCACAAAAAAAGAAAATCCACTTTGCAAGCTATAACACCAGGGGGCAGAGAAGTAGTATATATATTTAAACCAAATGTTTTTCTGTTGTTTTTTTTTCTGAAATGTTGTTTATATTAGATTTAAAGATCCTTATAATTTTGTCTAGAAGTAATGACCTAATTTGTAATTTTTGTCAAAAGGAAGTCTTGTTATCTGTTATTTTTTTCTGCACAGTAACATTTTGGTCACCCAGTCTTGCTTCTTAAATGGTTAGAATTCATGGCCAAATAACATATAATGACTACTATTAGACTGGAAATATGTGAAGTGGATTTTTTGTGCAAGAAAAGTAGTTAAATTGTTGAAAGGGCATTTCTTTGTCTCCCACAGCTGAAATTAAAGTATAAATCATGGAGGCTTTGGATTGCCTTTTGTTTTGCTTTGTTTTCAGAACCTTTCATTTAAAGGTTTAAAAAAATCTTCAAATGATGGAATAGTTTGTTGCTGGCATTGGGAAAGAGCTATGTTCAGTTATGGCATGGGGCAGGGTACTTGTAATGAGCACTGCTGAGGTCTTTTTTAGTTAGAAAAAAGAAAGATGGCTAATGTCAAAAAATGAAATCACCTTTGCAATTTTTATGTTATCCAGCACATAGGGAGAGTTAATATTTTATGTTGGAGAAGTAATAACATACCTGTGCTGCCTTCAGTAGGCTAGTGACCTGAAAACATCTCTATATGTAAAATTCCATTGCAAGGTTACCAGACTTTAGGAAGACTTTCCATTGTGATAAAACTCTGTGAAAGACAGTTTAATAAGCTTGTTATAAGGTTAAGTTTAGATGAGGACTAGTCTGTACGGATTTTCATCAGGGTGGGAAATACTTGAGCACTTTTTTATATTCCCTTGTTGGTTTGTGCTTTGCCCATAATGTTTTCTTATGTTAGGCATAACTTAATTTGTAATTTTTTCCTTCTTTCACATCTGCTGCTTCAAAACACAGGGATGAGTAATTAAGGAAGGGGAGAAGCAGTCCGTTGTGACAGCTTTCCCTGTATGTTGTTACAAGAAAGGATTAGAGAAACAATCTTCAGCCTCAAGCACAGTGTGTAGAATAAACAAGCATTCATTTGCTGGCATTCATTCCTGTAGCCCATTTCACCAGTGCAATTATAAATGACCTTGCAATCTGCAGGAGGGAAGTACAGTGGAAATGTCAATTAAACTTTTGGGGAAGCGTCAAGGAAGTCACATTACACTGGATTATATGTTTGGGTTAAACAACCAAAATTACTGGGCCTGGTCATGCCACAGGTATCCCTACCCCACACTCTCATAGTATTAGGAAAGTTATCATTCTCCTCTCCCGAGGAAAAGCTGAAGGGCTTCTGTGCCCTCGCTTACTAGAGCAGAAGAACCTGGGAGGGATGGAGGCTGTCCATGCCTCTGGCTTGGCTCTGGCCTTTGGTAGTGAACTCATAAATCCCTGGCTACCAGAACTTCTCTTTGGCTGCAGGAGCCTTCCAGGAAGTCCAGACAGAGCAGGAATAGCACAAAGGTAAAATCGCTACCTTGCAGTTTCTGCTGTATGGGCAGGACCTGGTAGCGTAAGTGGAATTTTTTTTTAATATTTCTCCTGGCACGGATAGAAAAATTTATTCTATAGGAATGCTGAAAACTGATGAAACACCCAGATAAGGTGTTACAGCAAAAGCTTTATTAAAAATAGTTAAGGACGGAGGCAACCTCTCTTTTTAATGCACGCTGTTTATTTAAACCATGTGCTTCTTGGGCCATAGGCCATACCTCTTGTGAGTTTCTGTGGTCCATGTTTGCTGTCTGTGAAGTTGCTTGTGGGCCAAAAAAGCCCATAAAATAATCTGCAGAAAAAATCATTCCATTGGTGTGGCAAAAGGATCTCTTCCTGTGTGAATATGTCATTATTCCCAAGTGGAGAATCTCACTTTATTCAGACTTCTGAGTGCTCCTGTATCCCAGATCATCCATGTGTCTTTTTAAATCCCATTAGCAAACTGAGTGAGAACATGTGGCTTCTTCCAATAATACATTGCAGTAATTGCAGAGGCTGGAACATGCAGTAATGATTTTTGCATATGTCACTACAAGAAATACTGTCCTGTTCGTGTTACTTTATTAATGTTTTTCCACAAGGAAATGAAAAACTCTAGTTCAAACATTTAACACAGTAGAGGTGACAGAGAATATTAGCGCCAACTAGCTACAAATTACTTTTTCTTAGAAGTAATTATTATTAAATATCCTTACAGTTTTCCACGGTGAAGTTAAAAGAACATTACAGTGTTGTCATCTTACTTGGCCATGGATAGTCAAGCTTCTTGATTTCTGTTCATATGTGTAATGCATAAAGGCTATAATACATATAACTCCTAGTATTGCACAGATTTAAACAGCAAACTGAAATGCCGTTAAGAGCCAGATACTCAGCTAGTGTAGATATAACTTCAGCACTACACTAATTGTATGAGACATGTTTCTGGCCCATAAAATCAGTGTTCTTGAGGAATTTTTTTTCAGGGCTAGCTACTTAACTGTTCTAAATTACATAAGAACCACAAGTATTTGGCTAGGATGATCCTACAATGTGATTTTTCTTTCAGTACTTACTCAGTAGGTGAAAAACTGTTGGCAGTTTTGACCCACTTTTTTCGCATCTCGTTCTTTTTATTTGTATATAATGTGTGTCCATTTGTGTAGTAACTGAAATTCAAATGCTCTATTCCTAAGTGTGATGCAAAGGAGAATAAGTGTTGAACTAATATGACTGGTGGAAAGAGAACGTACGGAATAGCATCAAACCAAGAGGGCCCAGTGGACTACTGATAGCAAATAATAGTCTGAATTCAGACTGTTTTTCTGTTCAGAAATCGCTAACAACATATTTTCAGCTTTATTAACTTGCTTTTGCATATGTTCAAATGATTTCTACAAGTGCGCTCGTAACGGCAAGTTGTAAATGCAGACCCGTAAACCTTGCCTTGCCTCCAACCTCGGACCAACACGGCTACAATAGCACGGCTACACCGGGAAGAGGGTGGCATCTATTTCAGAGAGAGCTGGCAGCTTATTGGCATTGTTATGGTCCCTGTTCAACATACATTTCTTTAAAGAAAAAATAAAGTATTTTTTCATAATCATTTCCTAGTGGAGATACTGCCCATGTGGCTGGCTCTCCAGAACGTTCCTGCTTTCCCCTCTTGCTTCTTTACCATCGGATGTGTATCTTGGTTAAAGGTGTTCCTCCTTCCATTTAAACCACCTACCATGGGAAGCTGCAAGCATGGTTGGACTTAAATGGCAGGATGTCCCCAAGCTGCAGGTACTGACATTAGGAGGAATTTTTACCTGTCCAGATTTTCTTAAGCTTCTGTGTGCAGCATAAAGCAGCCAAGAGAGCATAAGCAGAGCTCAGAAACAAAGCCACTAGAAGGCTTCTGTTTTCAGTGCAATGGAAGCAGTGTTGAAGTTGTTCTGAAACTGGGTTGACTCATGTTTTATAGGCATTATAAAAATGTTAAGAGGAAAGCACATTTATTGGATTACTGTAAAATACTATTGTAATAACTGCAGTGTACTGCAATCTCCCATAGTATATGGGAAGAGAACAGTTACATGTTCAGAATATATCATTAAAAATGACATGGAAAAATATTTGAGAAAAGAAGTTAGCATACATTTAAAGAACAACTAAGCTCTTTTAATATTTAAAAAAAAAAAACCCTAAAAGCATGTGACAGTGGGTCACACTGTGGACTAAGCATCTGAAAAATAAACAAGTTAAGGGCCAAATAATTTTTCTGCACAAAGAATTGAGGGATTTTTTTTTTTCCCCTGCTAGAATGCAAGGAATGTCCAGCCTGGTCTGTACTGCTCGTGGAGGATCTGGGAGGGCTTTGAGGTGGTTACAGTGAACTCGCGTGTTTTAACTGAAGGTTAGATGAAGGAACATTTTCTTGGTCAAATGCTGAATAAACCTTTCAGGCTGAGCCACCCATTGACACATCCCTTACTGTTATCCCAAAATAATGTCGTTCCCCCACAAAATATCACTGGCCAGTGCGCTGTGTGGTGTGCGCTTGCAGGCTCTATCAGGCCTGCGGAGCATGTATCCTCCACCATCGGCCATATCAAACCTTTGTCTTCTCTCTTGCAAGAAGATGGTTATTTGTCCTTGAACAAAATCTGCTGGTTTTCATGAACTAACTCCTTGTCACTACTCCCATTAGTTACTCAAATTAGTTACCAGGGCAGTTAGAATCATAGAATCATAGAATCATAGAATCGTCTAGGT